GGCGCCCGGGGTTTCCAGGTTGCCATCTGCGAGGATGCCTGCGGCAGTTTAGCGCAGGAAGGCGACGGACTGGTACTCGAGATCAAGTTAGTAGGATTCTTTGGCTGCACTTGTGCAAGTGTGCTCAATCAAGGCTGGGTGACTGGAGGCCTCTCACGTCTGGCGAGCAGGGGGGAAGGTGCAATGGGACATGCAGTGTAAGGGCGGGCCGTCGGCAGTGGACACCCAGTGACACCAGATGAGCACAATCTTGGTCCAGACAGGTTGAGTTCCCTCACCTACTTGGCCCCAGCTCTCCTTGGTTTAGGCTCCACTCAGGAAGGTTAGGTGTCTGACCCCTCCCTAACTGGCGTGTCAAGCTGAGACTTGCACAGCAATATCATCTACCTAATTTTAAGAAAACAAATTCTAGGACCTAAGTAATACTGTCCCACTGTTCAGTATGATCCCAGGCAAGGTAAAGCTAAGCCGTCATTCAAAAATAGGGATTGCTAGAGAAAAAAATCCCAGGGCCCATCCCAAAACTAATTAACAAATTCAATCCTAGTTTTGCAGTCAATGTGGACAACCATCCACCTAGGATAATGTGGATCGAGGAGATGGTTCTCAGCAACTGATTCAACATTTTATTTGTAAGTCTTACATGTGCATACCAGGGAGAAAAGGAGGGGCAAGCAGAGCAGCACCTCTGACCCCTCTTCATCAAACTTCAGGCTTCCTTCAGCAGCCTCCAGGATCTCAGGCACCCAGGGATCCAAACTCAGGGTCGGCCATGTATTATAGTTTGAAACACTATAGTTCAGTGTGCTGCCCACTGCACCACCAGACTGCAACTCAAATGTTTTTTCCAAACTACGGCTTTTTCTCAAAACTTCTGTCACCAGGTATCCAAATTCTACCTCCTTTGTTAAACTTTCCAATTTTATAGCACGGAACATCCCCTTCATTCCCAACATGGCTTTCTATTATTTACATGCCATTACCCCTACAGTTAAACAATTTTGAGTCCTCCAAAGTGATATATCCACAAATAACTGTGTAGATAGAACAGGCAGCTATAAGTGAAAATTCAAATGGCCCTCCCAAAGATTTCCATGCCCCAATTCGTGTGACTGCTACCTGTGTTGAACTTCGTAGATGTGCTCTTATTAAAGATCCTAAAGCAGGGGGGAACCAGCAGTTAGCGTAATGGCTATGTCGCTGGACTCCCACGTAGTCGACCGCGATTTGCGTCCTGGAAACTCACGCCGGGCCTGTGTGCGTGTGTGCCCAAGATCCCGAGAGAATGGAGAAGGGATTGCGGCATGACCATCCCTTTCCCCGCCCCCCCCCCGGGGGGGTGATTTCTCACTTTCTGTCTCTATCTGGCAAGCGCCCTATAGCAAAAACCTCTCCACAAAAAGGAAAAAGATCCTAAAGCAGGCAGATTACCAATTATCCAGTTGGCCCAAAGTAATCACAAGGGTTCATATTAAAAGGTAGGAAGATTGTCAGAGATGTTAGGACAGAAGCAAAGAATGGAAAGGCAAGGAAATGGATTCTCTAGAACCTTCAGAAGGAAGGTGTGCTGACACCTGACTTGGCTCAGTGAAACTGGTTTTGGGCTTTTGCCTTCCAGAAATAATATACTCAAGTCCTTAAGTCTGTTATTTTTGAAGCAATACTATGAGACTAATACATAAACAAAACACTGAGTGATTGCTTACTACGTGTCAGGTACTAGAGTTTAAAAACATCTGGTCTTAGAAACTTGTTATGGGGGGAACCAGCAGTTAGCGTAATGGCTATGTCGCTGGACTCCCATGTAGTCGACCGCGGTTCGCGTCCCGGACCCAGTGGCTTAGAACTCACGCCGGGCACGTGTGCGTGCGTGCCCAAGATCCCGAGAGGAGAATGGAGGAGAAGGGATTGCGGCGTGACCATCCCCCCTGGGGGGTGATTTCTCGCTTTCTGTCTCTATGTCTCTCTCTGTCTGTCTGGCGAGCGCACACGCCCTATAGCGAAAATCTCTCCAGAAAAAAAAAAAAAAAAAAGAAACTTGTTATGGGGACCAGTACATCGCATAATGGTTATGTCGCTGGACTCACGTTGTCAACCGCGGTTCAAGTCCCAGACCCAGTGGCTTAAACTCACAGCGGTCATGTGTGCACACGTGCCCAAAATTCCAAGAGAATGAAGGGACTGCAGTATGGCTACCTTCCTTGGGGGGTGATTATTTCTCGCTGTTTGTCACTCTCCCTATCTCTGGCCAAGTGCAATGAAGACTGTTTACCTTGCCTGGGATCATACTAAACAGTGGGACAGTATTACGTAGGTCCTAGAATTTGTTTTCTTAAAATTAGGTAGATGATGAGATTGCTGTGCAAGTCTCAGCTTGATACGCCAGTTAGGGAGGGGTCAGTGGTAGAAGGGAGGCACCACTGACCAAAAATGAACCTTCAAACAAAATTAACACTAGGTGATAATGGCTAAAGACCAATGAGTGTTGAAACAATTGTATGAGGGATTGGAACAGGGAGGAAAAAACTCCAGGGTATCTGAAACTGTGAAGGGTACAAATGGAAATAAACTTGCAAGGTGAATTTTTGTATAACTTACAAATGCCCAGACTTAAAATCGAGTCTTTTGAGATTTTTGCCATAGGGCATGTGAGGCAGGCAGAAAGCAAGAAATGATCCTCCTGGGGGGATGGCCACACCACAATCCCTTCTCCATTCTCCTCTCAGGATTTTGAGGTCACACACGACATGCACCCAGCCTGAATTTTTCTAATTGAGATTTTTTTTCGCTATAAGGCACTTGTGCTCCCTGGAAAAGCAGAGACAGAGAGACAAAGTGAGAAATAACCACAGGATGGGGGGGAAAATGACCTTTCTCCATTCTCCTCCTGAGATCTTAAGCAGGCAGGCAGGCACACACACACACCCTGAGTTTAAACTGCTGGTTTGGGACTCAAACTGCAGTTGACTATGTGGGAGTCCAGTGACATAACCATTACGCTATCTGCTGGTCCTCCGGCCTGAAATTTGTTATATTTAATCTCACGTATCTTTACAGTGTGTAACATTTCTTTCTCCAGCACAATTACCATGCATATCACACAGAAACCTCACTATCCACATCATCAGCAAATAGCACCTTTTTTTCTTTCCCAGCCTGAATTTCAAGGCGCTGGGTCTGGGCCTTGAACCACAGTTGGCTACATAGGAGTCCAACAATGTGAACATCACTCCATCTGCTGGTTCCAAAAAATTGGATGGGTCATCTAATGGAGGGTGTCCCTCATAAACAGTGACACCCTAAGAGGTGAGTTTCCCAAGCAAAATAGGTATTAACCTGCACTTCAATAGGTTCTGAAGTCCACCAAACTTTTGAGAGATTTTTGTTAGAGGGCACTCACCAATGAGACAAGTGAGAAATCACTCCCCCCCCCCCGGGGGGTGGTGGTGGCCACGCTGCAACTCCTCCATTCTCTTCAGTATTTTGGACACAAACGCACATGCACCCAGTGTGAACCAGTTGGCCACAGGGGAGTCCAGTACCTCAATCATGCCATCAGCTGACCCCCAGTAAACATTCTTATATCCACTATTTCTAATCATGATAATCCCATTTTAAGGGCAGATTATCCCTTTTCTCCTTATGAAAACTGAGAGCTAAAGCTTTGTCCCTTACAGCAATGTTTCTTCTATTTATCTAACTCTGAAACCACCTAGATTCCTTAATTTTCCCACAATTACTTCTGGAATTAAGTATCTTCAGACTTCCGCTGACTTAAAATCACAGGTTTTGAGTGGACTACTGTAGCAGAATGTCTACACAACTTCTATACCAGTGAAGACTTTCTACATTTTACTTACCCGCATACCCATACCCACATTTACTAGCAATATGCTGTCCGCACAACTTTATTCAATAACTGTCTTTTTTTTTTAAAAAGATTTTTTGCCATATGATGTGTGTACTTGCCAGAGACAGTGAGAGGAAAAAGTAAGAAATCACACCTCCCGGGAGGCAATGGCTATGCCACGCCCTTTTCCACTCTCTTCCTGGGATTTTGGGTGTGCACACACATACACATATATGTGCCTGGTGCAACTTTTAAGTTGCCAGGTCTGGGACTCAAGCCTCAAC